AAAACCCGTGGCATTTCAGAGTGCCCACCCTCATCGAACACTCGCGAATCATTATGCGGGTGGTTTTCCATGAACCCAGCGGGCCCGCTCGGCGCTCGCTCCGGGCGCTCGACGGCTTCGAGCTCATGCAGGTCGCTGGTTGGGACTTGCGGCGCAGGGGCATGTCCGACCCTGCCCCCATACAGCGACGCCTTGCTGACTTCGTTGGCGGGCAACATGTTCAGCCTGTTCGCCGCCGTGCCAGTCCTGTTGGCAGCGTTCGCGTTCATGGGCCACCAGCTGGTCGACTCGAAGTGGCCCAGCGATGAGGAGGCTGAGGTCGAGGCCGGTGCGCCTGCCGATGCGGGCGATCGGTGAGAACGGCCAACTAGGGCGTTCGATGAGGAGGCCGCACGGTCGGGGAAGGAGGAGGACGAGGACTAGGATGATGAATGGGGTTGCGTCGAAGGGTCCCACTTGTGTCGAAGAGCGTCTCGTGGGCACATGGACACGTTCCTCATGGGCAGGGGCTCGATCGCGTCATTGCTCATTTGGTCTGGACGCGACCGGGGTGGATTCAGGTTGGAGCTATCGGTTCCAAACTCGGAGGGGGCATTTTTAGAGTCTGCGCCGCTCTAGTTTTTCTCAAACGTGTTCCCTCTCTGTTTTTTCGGCCCTGTCCGGGGAACCCTCGTCGTCATCGTCGACGTCGTCGTCGTCGAAACCGATGCCGCGATAACACGATTGCCGAAACAGGCGCATGTGGGAACGCGATCGCACGATAACACGATATCACGATATCGCTTTAGCGTGGTGCTTCTCGCGCTGGTCTTGGGGTGAATACCGGTGATGCTTCTGCGTGGTTTTGTGGATCGGGTGTCGCCTGTGGCATATCCACATGCATGCTTCTCGTGCGGGTAATTCTAGTGGTGAGTTGGCGCTGTTTCTTGAGATGATTCCAGTGGTGTTTCTCGAGCTGCTTCCCCGAGTAATTCCAGCGGTGCTTCTCGCGGTTTTTCTTCTGTGAATTCCAGTGGCGCCATTTTTTCCCATCCTTCTCTTCCTCCGCCTCCTCCTCCTCCTCCTCCTCCTCCCCCCCCTCCTCCCCCTCCTCCTTCTCCGTTTCTTTCTTCCTTTCTTCCTCCTTCTTCCTTTCCATCTCTTCTACTCCGCCTGCGAGCAGCCCGTCCGTCACGGGCGGTTTGTCCCCAAGTCCGTCGCGGGCGGTTTGCTCCCATGCAAACCGTCCGTGACGGGCGGGTTGCTTCCAATTGCTTGTCTTCTCGCCGTTTGCCGCTCGCAGGGGGGGTGCAGAGGTCTAACGAGAGGGGGGCTCGCTGCCTCGTTGGATCGGGGCTGGACACCAGTACTCGCCGCGCTGGAGCGAGGTTGAGCGCTGCGCAATCAAATGGTATGGATTCTTGATGGCATTGTGAACTGCGGTTGGACATGTGTTAAACGGTTTTGTTATGGTTTGAAGTTCTTGATGTTTTTTTCTCTCTGATATTCGGGTTTCGTGAATGCTGGGAAGTTGGAGATTTGGGCGGAGGGCGCCCTTGGACCATGTTTGTGGAATGTTGGCGGTGCTGGCAGTGCGCTTACAGGCGCTGCCCTTTGAGCGTTGCTAAAATAACACGGTGTTTCAGCCTTGGTTCTAGTGTTACTGCGTCTTAGGGTGGCAACCAGTACACTTAAATACCTCTGGCCTGTGTGCCCCCCCCCCCCCCCCCTTCCCCCCCCTCCCCCAGTCTTGGATTTTCGCGACGATGTGTGCTCCAACGTGTTCCGCGGGTGCATGCATAATACGATTTCATACATTAAACGCAGGAAAACGCCGTGTGCAATTTTGCGTCCGACACGGCCCAGAATTGCACACCTTGTTTTTTTGTAGACAACAATGCGTTTTTACGCACGCGAAACGCATCCCGTCAGTCGCGCCGCGATTTCGTTGCGAAAAACAGCGGGGCTTCGCGCGCTGCTTCTTGGGGGTTGAACCGGTGGTTCTTCTCAGGCTGCTCTTGGGGCGAATTCCTTTCGTTCCTTTTCGTGGCTTTCTGGATCAGGCGTGTCCGGCTACATTTTCACTTATGCTTCTCGCGCGGGCCATTCCAGTGGTGTTTTGGCGCTGCTTCTTGCGGTCGCGCTTCTCCTGGGGTGACTTCCAGTGGTGCTTATGCGTTTTTTTTCTCCCTTTTCTGCCATGCCTGGCGGCCCATATGGGCTAGACGGATCGCGAAGATTGCGACGATGGCAACGCGGAAGAGAGGGAACACGAGGAGGAGGCAAGACGGGGGCGGAGGAGGAGGACGAGGAGGTGGAGGCGGAGGATGAGGTGGAGGAGGAGGGACCATGTCTGCCGCGCGGCCCGAAGAGGTTCCGTAGACGCACGAACCGCGCGGTGCCCGCCCCTCGCATGCGACGAGCAGAGGAGGAGGATGGGTGTTTCTCCTCGTCTTCCTCCTGGTCCTCTTCCTGTTTGTTCCTCCTTCCTCCCCCCCCTCTCCCCGTCCCCCTCCTCATCCGCTGGCGGCGCAGGGTGCGTGGCATCGATGCTTCTCTTTCTTGGTGGCGCAGCATTGCGCGGCTTCGCAAAGCATTTTATCGAACCCGCGCGGAGATGAGGGACGTCTCTGCGCAGGCCGATTGGTTCTTCCGCGCCCGCTAGGAAACGTGGCGTCTGATCGAGCCCCGCGATTAATCCTGGCACCTCGTTGCGATCTGGGTCAGAGAGCGCCCATCTCCAGGGGGCGCCCGAACGGTTCACTGTTTTGCGTGGGTCGCCCCAGCCCCTCCTCGTTCTTCTCCTCTCCTCCTGGCCCCTCTCCTCCTCGTCCTCCTCCTCCACCTCTGCTCCCCTGTCGTGCTTCTCCTCCTCCGCCGCCTCCACCCTTCTCCTGGCGTGAACGACTCAGGCCCCTCCTCTGCCTGGCTCTTTTCACCTCGTGACTCGTGGTGCGAGTCGTTCGGGCCCCCCTCGTCCTGGCGTCAGTCGTTCGGGCCCCTTCTTGGCGTGAGTCGACCATGGGCATGGGGTCCTGGGGCCTGTCTAGATCGCCGACCAGCTCCTCGCAGGGCGCTGCTCCATGATTTGATTCGGGCCGACATCAAACGCGAATCCCCGTCCGTCGTTTTCGCGAATGGTCGTCGTCGGGCATGTCCGACATCATCGTCGACGACATTGCTTGCGTCATCGCCGTCGGTCGCGTCTGGTAGCGCGGTCGTCGTTCTCGTCGCCCACGTCGTCGTCGGCGTCGTCGGTGCCGCTGTCGACGTTTACTGGGCTTGATCCAAGTCCACAGCTTGTCTGATCCGTCGCAGGCGTTGGCGTCGTCGTCGCAGTGACGTCAGCGGTGCGTAGCTGGTTTTGGCCGATTCAGGTCAGCTGTCTTGTTCGGGAGCGGAACAGATGGGGGGTGATGACTGGGGGGGGGGTGGATTTCCTGGCGCGGGCCATGATATTTCCCCAAATTTCATGGCGCCCCTGCTTATTTCATTACGTCCCTGGCCCCTCCACTGGGCCGCGCACATGCCGCCGGTCACGATTTGCACCCCCCCCCCTCTTGGACCCCCCCCCTCTTGGCCGCTCCCGACTTGTCTGCGCCCTCTCACCCCCGCCGCATCACTTCACCATGGGGAAGCGGCCCGCGTCTGCGCACCTCCTTGCAGGGGATGCTGCAGCACGGGCTGCCGCTAAGCAGAGGATGGACAGCGATTTAGAGAGCGACGAGCCGCCTTCCATTGGTCATCCGAGGGCCCCCGCGCCACGGCGCCAGTATGCGACCAATCTTAAGAAGGGCGCGCACGAGCGCCTGGGCGGCGTTCCTGACGGGCGCACCTGCGCTTGCTGCGGCTGTCTCGACACCCAGCAGGACCCAGTCGATGAGTTTTTCGAGATTGCGCAAGAGATGTCGTGGGGGAGACCGGCCAGGGCCGACGGCAAACAGGAAGGGTCTGGATGTTTCTATTGCTTCTCGATCTTCAGGGCGAGATATAAAGTGAAAGGCTTGAGTTTTGGGGACATGCCAGAGTTCCTCGGCAGGGGCGCGTCCAACTTTACCAAGTTCTTGGACATGCGCAAGGCCTTGATCGCCTTCCTGAAAGAGAAGGGGGGTCGAGTCAACCGCGTTGCCTGGCACGACATCGATCGGAGGTCGATTTCCGTCGTGTCTACCTCGGAGACAGCCATCCATGAAGCAGACGATTTGCTGTGCGACTACGATTGGTACGTTGCCGAGAAAGGCGACCCAGAGACGAATGGATTGGGCCGCAGCATCACCTACGAATTCGGAAAGAAGGAAGTCCGCGTCCCCAGTGCGCCGATCAGACGGGTGACCCGGCAGCAGAAGAAGAGCGTCGAGGACAGACGGGTCGCGCACGACGGCAACGACGAGGACGAGATCTACGACGACCAAGCCGACGATATTCTTAGAGAGTTGTCTTCGATCATCGCGCTTCCGCGCGCGACAGGGACCTTCGAGCGGAGCGCCGCGGCCAGCAGTAACGGCAGCAGCAGCATCGGCCAGCTGAGGCAAGCTGCGCATCCCGCAGCTGGCCCCTCGTGCACATCAGACGCTGCTGGCTCGGCTGGAGGTCTGAGTCTCGGCTTCGCTCGCGCGAAGGCTGCGTCGTCGGCCCCGGCAGCCTCAGTCGCGGCGGCAGGCGGCACCACCAAGAACGCTGGTGCCAACAAGCCCCGTGGCCGGAGGAACGGGAAGGCCGCGGCGCCGATCAGTGGCGGAGGTTCTGGCGGAGCTACTGGCGGATCTACTGGCGGAGCTCCTGACGCAGGTGGCGCCCCGCGGCCAGGTCCGAGGCGTCTGGAAATATGTGCCACGGCTAGGGCCGTAGTCACCGAGTTCAGTCAGGCGCCAATCGAAGACGAGCAATATTTTGGGAAGATGTGGAAGAACCACACTCGCTACTGCAAACGGGTTGAAGACGATCTTGATCGCAGGCTCGCTGCTTTGGACGCTGATGGGGAGATGGATGATGCGCTGCGCGATGAGCTCGCCGCCGCGCAGGCATGCAAGAAGCAGATCGCCGTCGTGCGCGCCATATGCTCGCAGATCGCAAGTGGTGGGCTCGACAGCGCCAAGTCCGCCGAGGTGTACGATGCGCAAGTTGCTTTCCTCCGCCTCCGGCCCGAGGTCGACGACATCATTCCGCGTCACTTGAAGCGGGCGCGTTTCTGCATCCGAGTAGCTGCCGCCGCGGACCCGGACACGTTCTGGCCCCTCGTGGCGCCTGACACCCTTGTCCAGAAGGGGCACTACCTTGAGGATTCAGCGCAGACAAAGGCAGGTGAGCTCATCTCCGAGCGCATCATGAAGATCTGCATGGCGACGAACGCAGAGGCAACGTTGCAGACCTATTTCCCAACAGATTTCGAGAAGTTCAAGCTCACCGAGCGGTTCGCAGCCTTCACTGATGACTTGGCAGCTCTGTGCACAGTGGTCAACTTCGCCGACGCGGAGTGCTGCGATGCCCCAGAGATTCACTTTTCAATGGTTGAAGCACGGTGAGCCCCCTGTCGACCGTACCGTCATCATTGCACCCGTGATTTCGACTGTCAACATCACTCGCGTGACCGAGGCCCGTGACCTGATCGCGTCGCAGAAGACCATGTCTTCTACTCTTGGCGATTCGTCTGCTGGAAAACGGGTCCTCAAGGAAGCTGCACATGCGCTGTCCGTAGTCTTCGAGCGCATCGCTTTCTGCCTGGAGTCGGCGCATGGCCTCCTCGCCATGCCTCGACCTACACCGATCACGGACGTCGGCTTGGGCGATCTGCAGGGTTTGGCCTTGGAGCTCGACATCATCTTCACAGAGGTGGCGGATCGGTCTGGTCTCTGGTCGTGCCCAGCGTTGACCGGTCGGGCAATGGTGCAATGGCGCATAGATGCTGGCCCACCGCGGCAATGAGCATTGATGCGACCGACGGCGCCATTGCTCGCAATCGGTCGTTTCACGCTGGCGCGCGCCGGGCGCCACAGGTGGGGGACTGCGTCCGGGCCAAGAAGGTGTTCGAGATGACGGTCCGTTCGAAATCCACCGCGTGTTTCGCCATGCTCGACCAGCTCGCGCGCGTGGCGTTCGAGCCCATCTGTCGTCGGGTTCTGGTCAACGACTCCTCTGATTTTACCTCGGTGATTGACCAGTGGGCTTCTAAGGCGTGGCCCGCGCTGAGCGACATGTGGTATCGCACCAGGCAGAGTGATGCGACGCGTCGGTGGTTCATGGAGTTTGCAGGTGATACCGCCATGCTCGACCTTGTCGACACCGCTGCCTCGTTTTGCACTGATGTGCTGGCTGCGTTCGATACCGTGATGAGTGACAGTATCTCAGAGGACGTGGCCGTTACCTTGCGCGGTTCGATCACTTTGATTCGCAAACGTGCAGTTGCCATCAAGGAGGGCATGCCGTCCCTCGCATCTGACATCGACACCTTCCTTGCCTCATCCAAGTTGTTTGATGACGCCGCGGTGGGCGGCATGGTGTCCGCCGCGATCGCTTCCAAGGTGGGCGGCGGGAGCAATGATGCCTTCGCCCAGTTTGCGCGGACTCCCTTTGGCCACCAAGTTTCATGGGGTTATCCATGTTTAGGTGGAGCCCTCGGTCCGTTGGTTTTCTCCCAGGGCGACGACGGCTCATCGCCCGTCTGCCGAGCGAAGTCGAGCCGAAGGGGAGTCCGCGCGGGGGGGGGCGCATCGATGCGATCGCCGCCCCAAGATGACGCAGAAGTTCTGATCTGCGAGCGCGGCCATCGACTCTGGCATCATCGACGTGGTCGTGAGCGCTGATATGGGCAAGGCCGCCATGGATCAGGTCCTGAACTTCCGCCTCGCCACTGACGAGGAGGTAGTTGCAATGCTTGACTTTGTGGATCTTGTGCAGGACCCTGTTCTCAAGTTGGAAATCTCGTGCATCCAGGCGTGGGCCTCCTTCCGCGCGGCCGCGGCGCGGGTCCTCTCCCACTTGGCGCAGGACGAACTCGTGGACAAGGATTGCTTCGCTGCTCTGTCCAGCCTGCGCGCGGAGCAGTCCGCGTTCCAGACGTTCATCGAGGACGGGCACGCGGACAAGTTGTTCGTCTACGATGCGAGCAGGAGCGCTTTCGCCTTCGCGTCTGCGAAGTTCGGCGAGATGCCCGCCGCAGCTTCGACTGAACTACAGAGGTGCGGCGCCGACGTCGTCTCTCGTGCAGCTGCGGTGTACGCGAACATCGTGACGTCAGAGGTCGAGGGCCTGATCCAGTGGTGCGGTGACGACTGGCGACCGCATAGCGGGGCCCTTCCCAACGACGCCAAACGCATCCTCGGCATGGTGAACAACCCTCACTACAATAATCTCGGCGCCCGGGCAAGCACGCTCACCGAGACAGTGAAGGGCATCCGGTCGGTGAACGCCACGCTCGGCAAGTTCGGGCCCATTGTCGAGGAGTCGACCTTGGTCGAGGCGGGCCGAACCACCACGTACGCCGTCCACACCGTGGTCATGACTCGCGTGTTGTTCGGGATGCGGGTAGAACTCAGACGCCCCCCCGCGCCCAAGCAGAGGGACATGGCCGACAACCTTCTGTCGCTTGCCCGGGAGAAGAAGGTTGATCCTGGCTCGGACGTGCGCGAGGCCTTCGTCAAGCACCTCGGCGGCGACGCCGCGCCTGCGCAAGAGGCCGCTGGCGCCGAGCGAGCTGCTGCGGAGCCGACGGGGGCGGCGGCCGCCGCGGAGGGCGCTGCCGCGGACGAGGAGGGCCAGCCCGCCGCCGCAGCCCCCGCGGCACCCGCTGCCCCTGGCCGCGCCGCTGGCGGGCCCCGCAAGCGGCGCAAGGCCCGAGGGTTGCAATCCACTCCATCCTTCCCCAGCGTGGCTCTCCCCCTGGTCCTTCAGATACTCCTCCTCTTTCTCCTTCTCCTCCTTCTCCTCCTCCTCCTCCTCTTCCTCCTCCTTTCTTCCTCCTTTCTCCCTCCGGCCCTCCTCTACAGGTTTTCCCTCCCTTTCGGAGCCCTGGATTTTTTTCGGATGGGGCCCGAGAAGGCCCCGAGCGGCCCGCGCAGCGAGGGGCTGCCGCGCTTTCCTCTGTAGCTCTCCCGATCACCCCATTGGGGCCCTCTTGAAAAACTCCCGGGGCCGTCTTGGGAGTCCTTGGAGCCCCATTTGGACCCCCCGCCCCCCCGCCCCCCCCCGGCGGCCTTCGGGGGCCCCGGGCGAAGGACGACAGCGATAAGGGAGCGTGTTTCTCGCGGACGTTCACGCCCGCGTCCGCGTCGCCGAGGGCGTTCGCGGTTGACCGCCGTTGACGCCCTTCAATCGTTGGGCGACGAACGATTCGGCGATGCGACGAACGATTTGGCGATTAGGCAGTTGCTAGTTGCTCTAGGTTGAACGATCGTCATGCTTGACCCGTGAGAAACCAGCGCGCCCGGCAGCTTTCGAACCAGGCGGCCCCTCCTGACTTCAGCGGCGGCAAGGCACCGAAGCGGCGTCGCAGGAAGGCCGCCGCGGGCGATGCTGAGCAGGGTGCCAGTGAAGCCGCCGGAGCTGCTGCTAGCAGCAGTAGCAGCAACGGCAGCAGCAGCATCAGCAGCGACTAGGATAGGTGGCTAGGTGCGGCGCGCTGGCGAGGGCACATTCGCCAGCCGCAGGTCGGGGGTGGCTCGGGGGCTCGGGGGTTACCAACCGCGGGCGCAACGAGAATCGCGCCTCGTGCGTCGCGGTCTGCGGCGTAGAGCCAGCGCGCGCCTGGGCCCTGGGAGGGAGGATGAGATGGGTGGCGGGTTGAGGGGGGAGGGGGCGAGTCATGTGGGGTGACGGCTTCGATTGGGATGACGAGGTAGAGCAGTGATTTGGGAACGGATGACGTGCTCACCGCTCTGTGCATGCTTGATTGTGAAGTTTGTTTCGTGGGCGCGCGCTGGTCTGCGACTCGGGGCGTCGTGCAGACCACAGCTCCAGCTCTGCCCAGAAGTGAGTTCGTGGCGCGTGGGCGCCGGCGATGTTAAACTTCGGATTCTCCTCCGCCATATTGGAGCATTATCGCTGCTGCTGTCAGTTTCGCATTGTCGCAGCCCTTTCACTCCCGGGGCGGATCGCAATTGATTGGTCGCCGTGCTCGCGTTCATGAGTGGATGTTGGTTGGCACGTGCTTGCCCCTAGCTTGCCCCCTAGCTTGCCCCCTAGCTTGTCCCATCCGCCCTTCCTATATGTCCCCTCCAGCCGTCTCCGCTGCTGTCGTCATCTCCCTCCTCATTCGATTTGGAGGGCTGACGCCGTGTCCGCGACCCTGGCAGTGGTTGGGCTGCCCACGACGTTTGAATCAGTTCGCCAGCTGATAGGTTGGCGCAGCGGCAGGGTGCGCTCATGCTGGTTGGCTGGTTGGTTGTTTGAATGTGTGCCAGGTTGACCCAATAGTTGGATGGTCGGTGGATTGGTGGATTGTCTGAAAAGGGATCGCCATGTGCGCCTGAGTGCTGTCTCTGGCGAGCCGACGGGTCGTGTTATGGTTGTTGCGAAGGCCGGCTCGCATTTCGGTGTATATTTTCTGCTCCGCGTGCTTGGTCAATTGCGGCAGAGGGCCGGGGCTGTTCATTTTAATTGTGGAATTGCGGAGGGGGGGTGCTTGGTGATAGCGCCGAGCCATCACGGTGTAACGCATCCGCCCCTCCCAATGATATTACAATGTCGGCGGGCCGGAACGGCGTAATTCCTCCGACACACATCGTCCAGTTTTTAGGCATTCTGCCCAACGATAAAGTGCAGGTATAACCGCGTGGGACATGTATGGATCAATCCCTTGTACCTGTGGGACAACGATCCGATATATCCGAGAAATGATCTTTCCATCGACGATGTGTACGAATTTCATACTGATTCATCATCGTTGAAAGATTGGTTTATCCCCCCCCCCCCCCCCCCCCCTAAAGTTTGAAGTGCCCCGAACCGACGCCCATCCAGGAGGTCGGGTTCTCTGCGGCATTTACGCTGCAAGAAGGGTATCAAACGGAGACACCTGCAGGGGGATATGACGGATCATGGACTCAGTCCCGAAGTGCGGACGTGACTGGTGTGACATTGAGTGGAATTACTCCCACCGACATGCTGTGTGCCAGCGATCCGTGGCGTGCCCAGACGCAGCAGCTGCCAGTGCCTGCAGGGCAACCTGCGTCGTTTGCACTTATGAATCGGGCCGCGACTCCATTTGGGACTCCATGGAGTGCTGGGGGCACCAACTGTCTACAGGCAAGGCTCCAAATCATGCGGATGGACCCGCAGCTCTACCAGGCTTTGCAGGCGACGTCGCCGTATGCATCGCCGCGCCCGCATACGGGGGAACCTGCTTTCCCTGACCGCCACGCTGCACAGAGGACCGAGAGTTTGTTTGGTCAGCAAGAGTGGATGTACCGGCAAATGCACGAAGCCGCGCAGAGCACGCGCAGGGGCGGCATCGACCTCCCTAGCGCTTGCTGGACGCCGCCTCGGGAGTATACCCCGGGCCCAAATCCGTCACAGGACAGCCCCAATAGGTGCGGATACGTGCCGGCATCTTTCAGTCATCCGACATGCGATCCGACAGCTGCAGAGCGCCCTACAGCACCGCCGATGGACTACCCAGTATATCCTGACCACCATGCTCAGGTGACGGGCAACCCTCGTGGGAACGCAGCCGGAGAATCCGCGTGCACGGGCGACAGCCGACGGCTCCAATCAGTCTCAGTTGACACGCGGTTTTGGTTACGCGTCAGGTGTTCGGGGCCAGATTCCTGATTATTGATCTTTGGTTGCCCCTATGACCCAGATGTGACTCGACAGGCCCCCGGCCTGGTAGTGCCATCATCCATGGGGGAGTTGCGCCCGGAGATTCTGGCCATTCACGGGGCGCAGCAGGCTAACCTCTCAAGTCAAGTGGCCCGCCAGCGTCGCAATCACGTGCGTCGGGCGAACGGGGTGCTGGGTCGTGCGGGGCAACCTGCTACTCCAATCGCAGCAGGGACACCTGCATTTAACTTGGCAGCATTTGCAGCCATGCGGCCACCGTCGGTTCCACCGATCCAGTATGAGGTTGGTGAAACTACTCTGGAGCGCCAGACGCGTATCAGGCCGTCGGCAACACCGCCGGTCATCAGCGACGGTGATTTTAACAAGTGTGCCATATGCCTGGACCATTTCATGCATCGCGACAGGTCTGGAGGCGTCAGTGTGGTCTTATATTCCATGCACAGTGATGGGACCGAGTTGCACGCGCTCATGTGGACAGACAGTTGGCTGGCACTATGGAAGGTGCTGCAACTGAGGCACCCCGCGCTATTTGCAGGGGCGTCAGTCTGATCGCAGCTGAGTTTCATTATGCCCTTGCTGGAGATCAGGATGCAGCAAATCGCCGCGGAGATACTCCGATGGGGCTAACGAACTCAGGGACCTTCGCAAAGAGTTCAACCGCATCACGGCGATGATGATGAACAACACGGCAGTTCCTTCAACAACGCCTGCGGGGCAACCCGCTTCATCAGCCAATGCGGTGCAGGCGACGGAAGTTACCGCGCCTGCTCTGGATGCGCCTATGCCATTAAATAGCGGAAGCAGCCAACAATGCAGGGGCACCTGCTACGACTGCACCTGCCGCGTGGCCGGCCAACGACATGGGGCTGAGGCGTGTGGAGGGAGCCGCCGAGAGGAGCGCGCAGTGGCTTCAAGCTCCGCATGCCTACATGCCATATTGGCGAGACACCCGCCCGCGCCGCCAGCGCAGGGCGGGGGGCCCGGTGAGCGTGCGCAACGGCATCAGTGCGATATCCGAGCGCGACATGCTACACGCTATGTTGATGGCGAACACAGATGGCCAGATAGGCATGCGCGCCGACGAGAATGCGTTCATAACTTGCCGCTCGCATCTGCACCACGCCCGCACATGCGTGACGAGTATCCTACGGCCTGGATTTTCGAGAACCCCATTACCGATGAGGAGGCCCGCGGATACATGAACGTCTTCACGTCTCTGACAAGGAACGATTGGGCGTTGGAGCAGAGGCGCCGCAAGGGTACGTATGGTACGACACTGTCTGCGGTGCCAGGAATTTGCGGAGAACGCCGTGAACTGGCCCTGGCCGCGAACATTGGGACCATGGTGGATGGAATGCGGACAATCCTTCTGGACATAGGCAGCAACATCAACACCATTGGTCTGAAGACGGCAGACATTTGAACGAGTATGCCGCTCCCATGGACGCGACAGCAAGAAGCTGAACCTGACGAAGAGGCTCTACGTGTCGGGAGTGGGACATGGTGCCGCCGTATGCGACAAGTCCCTGCACGGCAAATATGCGCGCGAAGAAAAAGGATCCGGCGGGGGCACCTGCTGCGCCGAGATTTGATACCTACTCAGCTAACGTGGCTGAGGGTTCAGGGGGAAACCTCCCTGCTATCCTGGGTCTTGGGAGTATGTTTAACATTGGGACTATCCTGATCCTGGAGCAGGGGCACGAGAAGGTGGCCATCCCCGGCTCGGATATGTGCCAGCTCCTCCTTGGGAAGGGTGCCAGAGTACTTGATTTGACGGGGGCGCCGGCTGGGCGTCTGGCGCTCGAGGTCGACGAGTGCGGGACCGCAACTGAGGATGAGAGGTCGATGTCGTTTTTTATTACGGCCAACCCTCACTGCGAGGATGCCCCGTTGCTCGTCAAAGAAGCAGCTGGCGCAGAGCCAGCTGCTGGGCAACCTGCTTTGAGTAGCGCGGGGACACCTGTTATGAGCGATGCCCACGCGTATCGCATATGATGTCACAGGATACTAAGAGCATCAGCTGCTCCATTAACGAGGAGACGCTTGCTTTCGCG